TCGTGGCAGGTGCAGCAATTTGTGAACCTCCATGTGCAGATTTCGTGGCAGGTGCAATACAAAATGCGTTTTCGAGAGATAGCGGACGCACGAAATGCTGTATTTTTCAATAGAACCGGTGGCTTCGAACCTGGCAAGTCTAGCTCTGCGGAACGACGGTTGCGAGACGGTCTCGGGTCATGGTCCGTCGGCCGTCCATTGTGATTAGGTTTTCACTTGTCTCTTGAAGTGCAGATTTCGTGGCAGGCGCAGCACTTTGTGAACCTCCATGTGCAGATTTCGTGGCAGGCACAGCACTTTGTGAACCTCCATGCGCAGATGTCGTGGCAGGTGCAGCACTTTGTGAACCTCCAGGTGCAGATTTTCGTGGGCAGGCACAGCGCTTTGTGAACCTAGGTGCAGATTTCATGTCAGGCACAGCCCTTTGTGAACCTCCACGTGCAGATTTCGTGGCAGGCGCAGCACTTTGTGAACCTTCATGTGCAGATTTCGTGGCAGGCGCAGCACTTTGTGAACCTCCAGGTGCAGATTTCGTGGCAGGCACAGCACTTTGTGAACCTCCAGGTGCAGATTTCATGTCAGGCACAGCACTTTGTGAACCTCCATGTGCAGATTTCGTGGCAGGTACAGCACTTTGTGAGTCCATGTGCAGATGTCGTGGCAGGTGCAGCACTTTGTGAACCTCCAGCAGGCGCAGCACTTTGTGAACGTCAATGTGGAGATTTCGTGGCAGGCACAGCACTTTGTGAACCTCCATGTGCAGATTTCGTGGCAGGCACAGCGCTTTGTGAACCTCCATGTGCAGATTTCGTGGCAGGTGCAGCACTTTGTGAACCTCCATGTGCAGATTTCGTGGCAGGTGCAGCGCTTTGTGGACCTCCATGTGCAGATTTCGTGGCAGGCACAGCACTTTGTGAACCTCCATGTGCAGATTTCGTGGCAGGCACAGCATCTGGCGAGCTGGAAGCTGAGAACTGGCGGCTCTTGTAGTACAACTTTAGTACGCGGAGTATCTGTGGAGCTGGATGGTG